AGCATTGGGTACTAAAGGTTTCCTCGTGTGTTTTCACACGAGGACCGAAATACCTAGAACCCTCATCCCCTTTCCCCCCGAGAAAGTACTCCACGACCAATCCAGATGCAATCCCAGCATCCTTGCTATCACTGTCACTGATGGGAAAGTTTCATTTGAATCAGGTACTGGAAAGAGGTGGGGAAATCGATCATATAACCCAGAATGCCATTCTGCCACAAACGCCCCGAGCGCCAAAAAGACCACCCGCAAAAAACAAACTTGAAGGAGAGGGTATTATGGTAAAATACAGAGCTGTTTATAGGACGGCTTCACGCTCGAGAACTGATTCGTCGAATTTAACTTAAGAACGGGGGTTTAAAGTTAGCAATTATTACATTGAGCGAAAAGCAACGACGTAGGGTTCCCGAAGAAAGGAAAAAACCCTGATGGTAAAAACGCACTCAAAAATACTGTCTTTCCCGGATATTGATCAGTGGGAACACTATGGGCCGTGACCCTGCTCGGAAACAAGCATCCATCCAGGACAGCCTCGATGATCCCAGCAACAAACGCCGCGCAATTAAGTTGTGACATTTCCTTCGGGACGGAAATATAAGAACTGACCATAGGGTCATTATCTATCAACATATACTCGTCCTCGTTATCACGGGACTTTTCAAGGCCATCGGCGGGTTTGTTGAAGACGGAGCGGTAGAGTGTGGTAGTAATGAACTGAAGAATACCGAGGATACGGGTTTCGCGTTTTGCAGAGCGGCCGTCGCGCCAGAGGAGGAGCTCAAGCAGACGTTGGCCGATCGTGTAGCCATGGAGGTTTAATCTAATATAGGGAGTGTAAAGTTAGCGACTAGACAACTATATGGGATGACCCCCTAATAACTATCAACCAAGGTGCTACACAATGTCCCATCCTTGCAAAATATCGAAGTATAATATCGAATTGTGTGACGCCCATAGCTATGAGAACAATTGTGAAATTAAGAACCAACTTTTTCTCTAAATCTTGAATTCCCGATACTCTCTTTTGTGCATATTGAACCATTTCCCCAAATAGAAACGCAAAGCTAGCCTTTGACAGCTCGGAGCGCTGAGAGCGGTTGAGGTGACGGTCATAAATGGATTTCCGTGATGACGAGTAGCGGAGATTTGACGTTGATGAAGCAGTCAAGCTATGTTTGAGAGGGGCAGTAGATGTCGGGGTACCTTGCTGCAGTGAAGGGTTTGGTGAAAAAGGAACGAATGGAGTTTCTTGTCGTGACATTTTTCAAGATATATGTATGGACCTATTGAATTGTTTCTAGATAGTGGGGAGGCGGCTTTGGTGGGGGGGGGGAAGAGGTGAAGTTGAGGCCGACGGTTGTCCAACACTAGCTACATGCAGTATCAGACCAAGCACCTGTCCATATTGAGCAATCACAGTTACCCGGCTACATTTTCATGCATTGGAATTCATTATGCGCCAAAAAAAGGCACTTTCTCATCCGAGCTCTTTCACGTCACGTCTACATACTACTCAAACGTCATCTTTACTCTTCCCCTTTCAACAATCAACTTAGCTCCATCTCATTACTCCGCTCCACAACCAAATATTCGGACCCTTTGTATCTCCATTGACGAGCCCCTTACCACCATGGCAGACCAGTTTATCGGCCTCACTATACTTCTCACTCTCAATGACCAAGATCAAACACGAGTCCGTGGTCTCGTAGCTGAAGTGCACGGGACGGAGCTGACACTTTCTAATGGTGTGTTCTCAATACTAGATAGCTTTCAGTTCGTTTTCAAAATGCTTACTTTCCTCTAGTTGTGTTTGTGGATTCAGGGTATTCTATCCCTAGTTACACCGTGATCGGTCAACAAATTAAAGACATTGAAATTATGCCCCCTGAGCCTACACCTCAGTCGTATGCTCCGCCGCCGCTTCATGCTCCTTTACCCCCGCAGCCGCTCGTTGTTCACAACCCGCCCGCGCCTCCCACTCAAATGTACCAAACAGGCAGTCAAAATCAAGCTCTTGCCCACCATAACCAATCCTACTCTTACACAACCACAATAGTTACCTCCAGCACACCCCAGGTTGTCGCCCCTTCCCAATTCATCGATCCCGCGATTCTCTCAATCTCTCAAAAGCCGCCCGCACCAACTCAGACACCCCCGGTTGCCCATCATGCACATCAACAGCCTCAAGCTAGTTTCTCTACACCACCGCGGATATCAGGAAGCATCATGCAGTCGATCCCGCGACCTCCAAACCCAACTACAAAGCGCCAGGATTCTTCCCACGGCTCCAACCTAAGCCTAAATACGCTAGGAATGCCAAATACTCAAAATGCGCACTCATTTCCTACAAATGCCCCCGCAGAACCTTCAAGATCTAGCGCATTAGGTATGCCATCCCAATCGCGTGCACCGTCTTTAGTTTCGGCGGCTATTAGTGCTCCATTCGCCGAGCTTTCTATCAAAGGTGATATTGCTGGTGAGTATAACGCATTTGATGAAACCGATGATAACCTTAGCTCCGTGGCAATGCCGCCGACCTTGGATGTCCGCCAGAAGTTCCAAGGAAAGCGCTCACGCCGTGGAAAGTCGCATTTAAAGAAGCAATATGAGCAACAACATCAGCTCTCTGAACCCATGGCCCAGGAAGATCGTGCACGTGAAAACTCTATTGCTCCCGGTATGTTTGGGGGCGCAATCGCACAGGCGGCAAGTGCAAGCGCCAGCCATTTTGTCCAGCCAGGAATGGCGGGGAGAAAGAACAGACGCCAGAAGCGAAACAACAATAGGTATGATGGCAATACGACCAACGCTGAAGAGGAGGGGTGGGCCACAGAGGATGTCAATGACTACAAGGAGAGGGAGTTCGACTTCCAGGGTAATCTAGATAGATTTGATAAGAAATCGGTTTTCAGCCAACTCAAGGTGAGGGCTAGCTTTAAATATACATGCCCAAATCTCCACGCTAACACGCAAGGGTAGGCTGAAGATACAATTGCTGAAGGAGACCGCCTGGTGTCATTCAATCGTCTTCCCCAACGCAATCCCGCAAGCAAGGGTTCTGTTGCGGTCAAGAAGAACTACCATCACACTGAAAACGTTCTTGGCAATTATGCCAATGGCCAGTCACTAACCGAGCGTGATGGCTGGGACTCGCCTGAATTCATTGCGGAAGAATCCGAATCCTCTGAGGATTCCGATCACCATGCTAGAGGCCGGGGTGATGGTGGGGCCGCGGACAGTGGCAGAAGCAGTAGACGGGCCATGTCACGACAAGAATCCCGTCGTCGGACACGTCAACTCACAAATAACCCTACCGCTATGCGCTCGTTTGAAAACCTACAATATGCCCATTCCTCCAGCGGAGGTGGAGTGGGCCCCTCGGGCGCTGTTAAACATTCTAAAGCAGCTCTACGCCTTGCCCCCAGCCATAGGCCATGCCCTGTAGTAAGCCCACTGCAGATGCTAGATGTTGAAAGAATCGCGGAGGTAGAGCTATGCCTGACAGATGACATGATGACCGAGAACGCAGGCCGCGGGATTGCGCAGGTGGCCATCCAGGCGTTCGGCAAACGTATCTCCGCATCCAACCACAACTCTCTCCCTGTCGTGCTCGTTTTTGCAGGAAACCACAAGTCCGGAGCCCGCGCCATTGCTGCGGGGCGACACTTGAAGAACCACCACGTCCGCGTGATGGTGTGCGTGCTCGGTCTTGAGAGAGAAGACGAGCTCCTTGAGAACGTGCGCAGGCAGCTGAACATCTTCCGTAACGCAGGCGGGCGCGTGGCGAGGTGGGAGGAGCTGGCGAGTAATTTGAAGACGCTGGATTCGCCGCCGGAGCTGATCATTGATGGGCTTCTGGGCACGCATCTGAGTATTGAAGACCTGCGCACGGATCAGCAGGCGACGGCGTTCGAGTTGGTCCAGTTTTCGAATAAGAGCAAAGCTAGCGTTCTTGCGGTTGACATCCCTAGCGGTGTCGATGGTAGCACTGGTTTGTCCCCTATCCCCATTTCCCGTAATATGAATCGCGGTACTAACGGTTGTTTAGGTGAGGTTGCACAGCTTGAAGACACTGGCACGTTCCACATGAAGGCCAAATGGGTCGTGTGCATGGGCGCCCCGAAGACTGGGCTCCTGAACGCACTGGTCTCCGGCGTTGGGGCCGGATGGAACCTTTACGTGGCCGACATTGGGATCTCCAATACGGCGTGGAGAAAATACGGGACTCGACGGAGACATGGGGTTGAATTCGCTGCTGACTGGGTCGTTACCCTGGAGTATCACGGCGCGTCATGAACAAACTAACCATGGGCAAGAAGAAGGATATTTTTGTCATGGAGTAAAACAGCAACAACAACGATAACGATAACAGGTAGTGTAGTATTTATTAGATGTTTGGGGCGCTTGTGTGTTTTTGGGATGCTTTGGATAGAGTTTTTAGTTTGTGTGGGGTATTATTATTATTATTATGACTTGTATGATTTTATCTTTTTTTAATTGTTCTTTTGTTGTTGTTTTTTTTCGTCGTGGGGCGGTCTTGGATAACGGATGTTATGATTTTGTATCATGAGTAAATGGGCCATGGTTGGGTGTACTTATTCTTACACATATACAGAAACTTGATTTATTTACAAGTCATGTATGTAGTTTAGACACTTTAGTTATCATGAAGGCCTTCTTCAATCAACGAACCACTCAATTGAAAAAGAAAAGAAAAAATAGACTTACAGGCGGATGTCATCGATCACCAGATATCACTCGGTGAGCGATACTGGTGCACGTGCTACACAGTATTTCCTCTGCTCACGCCACCCCGCCTTGGTATACGTTACCAGTTGGAGCGGACACATCACAAACAACAAATGCAGACAGATCTTACATAGAAAGGATACGTCTCGGGACACACTATGGCTACCTCAACTGCGTCCATAAACTGCATCACCCACACTCGCTCATCTTCGATCAAAGAATACAAACACACACAAAAAAAGGAATCAACAATGCCCAAACCCCTACTCCGTCTCTTCAGCGGCAGTGCACCCCCTCCCCCGCCTCCTCCACCTCCCCCGCCTCCGCCGCCCCAACCACCACAGGCAAACCTTCCAGACCGGGTACCCTCCCCCCCCTCCTCACCAAGCACCACCCACTAACACCCCACAGAGCACCCTCAACGCCGACATCACGCGTGGCATCCGTCTCCGAAAAACCGTGACCCGCGACCGCAGCGGCTTAGATGGCAACATAAGCAGCGCGAGCAGCAGCTGCTTCCGCGGCGACAGGGCGGAGGTTGATGCGGCGGGGGACAGGGCGCCGCAGCTGGCGGGGATGTTTGCGGGCGGAATGCCGAAGTTGAAGAGCCGTGGGGGGGTTGAGACTGGAGGTATGTGTTTTCTTTCTTGGGTTGGGTTTGGTCGAGTGATAGTTTGTGTTGCGGGCGGTCTTGAGATTTACTTTGGGATGGAGATGAGTATAGATGAGTTACATAGAGTGCTGACTGGTGTGTGGAATTTCTAGCATCTAGATCATCGTCATATATGTCTTCGCCGGCGCGGTCAGTCTCTCCGGGTGCCCCGGCAGTCCCTCTAGTGCCTACAGTACCTCCTTGGCCCGTCCCCTCCAGCTCCTCCAGCCCTTCAGTCCGGCGGCACCCGCCTCCCGTTCCGGCGAACCGCCCCAATTCTGCCTCTCACTACCGCAGCGCACCCACCTCACCGCCTCTACCCACCTCCGCACCCCCCCGCCCGCCATGTTTCCGCAAAACCTCCGCCCCGCTCCTCTCCGAAACAGGGCGCCTCAATACCTCTACCTCGCACCTAAGACCTCCCGCACCCCGCGCCCCCTCATCACTCCCCACATCCTCGTCCGCAAGCCCGCTTATGAGGCCCGCTGTTGTCGCGGCCAGAAAGGCTACAGGCGACTTGCATGCGGGCCGCGCGCCGCCAGAGCCGCCGTCGAGGCCGGCTCCGCGCGAGAAGCGCGAGAGGACTAGATATGTGGTTGATGATAGTAGGTGGAGGTTTAAGCGCGAGGAGGACCTGCCAGAGCCGAGGGTGTGCGGTGGCGGGAGGAAGGTGTATAGGAGTGGGGGGACGGGGAGTACGGTTCCGTTGGATCTGGGGATGTTGGGTTAGGCGTGAATGAGAAATCGCTTTTCGTATTTTTACTTAGTATTTTTATTTTAAAGGCTGCGACTTCTATGGTTGTAATTTTTATCATTGTTCTGAGGCGAGAGCGGTGCACGGGATATCACTCGGCCCGTGATGGGGTTGATTGTAAAGACGAGAAGACGGTATTAAGTACCGAGAGAGTCTCTTATGGATACATGTATGTAGGTATTATTATCTCTCGCTGTGTATGAGAAGAATGCTGGGGTATATTTAGCACCCCGTCTTCACGGTACAGAATCCGTGAGAATCACTTGTACTAGTGAAGATGTATATAGAGTGGTAATGAGAGCACATCTGGTTATCAAGTAAATCTCCTAGACGGTACGTTTTGCTTGTGAATTGCATACTCATTGCTAGGTAAACCATGAGTGAATAGAAATTCCTACTATGAACTCACGTCTTACTAGATCGACGGCAACAGATTGAATCCGACTCTACTATGCGGAGCTTTGATATCAATTATAACTACTCGCATTTCAAGTACATATGTATTTGCGCAACCAGCAAAAAACACAGAATCCCGAGAGCTTTCCCATCTCCCCTGAAATTATGCACCCTTTATCCATACATGCACCTGAAAGACTTTACAGCTAGGCCACTTTTAGGCCATATCCATAAAGACCGAGCCGAAGGGATAAGCGAGTATGTCTTTCGGCAAACTTTTGACCGGCAATCTCTGGCCTTGTTTGTGGACTGTGCTGCTTATCCCTTAAGCTGGGATGCTGACCCCCCTTATAATAGAGGAATTAAATTTGTATGGGAGATCTATTATTTGATAAGAGAGATAACGAGATTTGTCAGTAGGGCCGCACGGAGATTTACTTTTTTTTGAGGGGGGTTAGCATTTGTTGCCACTTAAGGGATAATAGTAAAGTTTTGTGGTATACTTGGTCATGAGTTATCACTCGCGTTTCTGGTGCTGGTGATCTACATTGATATGGCTTCCGGGCATAGGTCCCGGGAGGATATATGTTCACTGGATATTCTGATGTGCTGGACATTAGGGCTCTTTACTATCGAGCGGTAAATGTGCCAAAAGTAATTTTACCAACGGTAGTAAATTATTTACCACCGGTGGTATAAGCACTGAATTTCAGTCATTGTGTCTGCACGCTATAATTCTACATTAGTACATTTCCACCGGTTTAAACACTGGGTTTCAGTCTATATGCTGCGCTATACTAAATAAGCAAATGTTCAATCATTAATGCCAAAACTTATGAAAACTTCCCACCGGTGGACAATTTTCATATATATTGGCATTATATCGCCCCTTTTGGCCAAAAGGTCTGTGCTTTTATCATAAAAATTAGCATTATAGGGTATAAATACTGGTATTGTTTTCACCACCGGTGGTAAAATACTTTACTACCGTTGGTAAAATTACTTTTGACACATTTACCGCCCCATACTTTACTACATAGTAATTAATAAAATAACGGCTTCGGCTTCGGCTTTGCATTAAGCACCCTCGAGTCCACCGCCTTCGTTCTCGAGTTTGCGATAAATTAAGTGACACCTGAGATCGACCTTATCGCACAGAACAAGATTAGATATCATTCCACATTTTGGCAGAGCTTGCTTCCTTCCTTTAATTGTGAGCCATATTACTCATAACGGGTTTTTTTTTGTTTAATTCATTACTCATAATGGGCTGTTGTGGTATGTTTGGTCATGAGATATCACTCGTATTGCCCGGAGCTGGCGGTTGACTGTGTTAATTGTGGACACGAGACCAGGCACGATATGCAGTTGAAGATACGATTAAATGTATCCACAGAAGACCGCCGGTGAGCGTAGATAAGAAAATCATGCGAGCTTTCACATGTGTCATTATCAAAACGCTACGTATAGCTTATACTGATGAATATATTACAGTACTAGCAAATTCATGACGTTTCCGAACACGACTACTATTGCATACCATACAAAAAAGCGCCAAATCCACCTTTTTGTACGTCATGCAATATTGGTCGTGTTCGGAAACGCTAGGAAATTACGACTATATGTATGTACGTACTCATCGTTAAAAAAGTGCCGTAAACTCTCTAGGTTTAGATCTTCTATTATCATTCTCTCTGTGTTAGTTATTGGTATGACTTGGAGATGAGTGATTCCGCATCGATCTCGAGCTCACGATCAAGACTCATTTCCCTAGAGTCTTGATGACTGGCCTCCAAGCTATAATAGAAACCCCCGCTGACTGTGCGCTTCGTCTCGACGTCTCGCGTGTCTCGTTTGCATGTGTCTTGCATATCCCACGTGCAGACAAGCCCCCGAACTAAAAACATGGAATAAGCATAAGATCGATTCTATTTCTACTGCTGCATAGTTTTTTGGTGGCTTTAATTACAGTTTTAAGGTTGTCGTGCTTTTCTGAGTTCTCTCATCATTGAGCATATTAGTAAGATTAAGGATCCAGCCACTCGAATACCTAACTCGGACAGCCAATGATGATTGGCGGAGAAGAGGTACAGAAGCCGGTTGCAATGTTGATCTTATCTTTTCTACTTGTTAACTGTCCGAGTGAGTGGAGTGTCCGAGTGGCTAGGGAAGTCATGGTTCTTCAATCGCCTCGCTGATTGGTCCATCACTACCAGACTGAGTCACTCTTTAGAAACACGGATTAGAGTGTCCGTGATATCATGTAGGTACTCTACTTCCTCACTCCGCTCATTGCGTAAGTCGAGATTCTCATACCTTTTTGGCCACAGGACCGGGGCCACCCTCCAATCTCAAACCTTAGATAATCACCAGATCAATCATGAATTCTCATTCCGACCGCGGATCTGGGTCAGTTACACTATTCACAATGGAGACTGGTTGTGTTTGTAGTCCCCAAAGTCGACAACCATCCATCGTGGATGACGGAGAGTCCTGGAAGGCCTTCGGTCCGCCTACCTAGCGCGTTATGCACAACTTTCGCAACTTGATTCCTGATCATAATCAGAAGCCCCCTCCCTCTAAACGACGCACCTGTCATGGTCTGTACTTTATCGACGTCGCAACGGGCTTAAGTTGATCACCCACAATGATATCATCCGCGGATCTTCCACCCTCTTTTCTTGATATCGTGGCGGGCCATGGGAAAACAGTACAGCAAAAATTTGAGAAAATTAATTTGGAAGACAAGCGGCACCGGTCCGGGAGCTTTGGCTTGAGGGCGGGGTGATTGACTGACGTTGGGCGGCGGCGGTTGTTAAGCACGAGGTGGAGCAGCGCCTTTGGACAAACGAGGATGTTTGAACCGATTATCTTTAGGTAAATGGGCCCCCGCTGGTTATCTCCAATATGTAAGTTTTGCGAAGTGAGGGGTTTGAGAAATCCGAAAACCACTTTTCCCCTCAAAAGAAACACTGAAATTGACGTCGGTAGTTACTTTTATTGATTAGCGTATCGTTAATTGGGAATGTGAACTGTTACCCCTCGTTCGAGATGCTCCTGGATAGAGAAATAATATCTGTCCTGATTGAACGAATTTCCTATTCCTGGATACACCAATCATCTCTCAGTTGATGCCTACAAACCACAAACCCGCCTTACTCAGGATCATTGACACAAATGGTTCACACTAAGGTTCTAACCCGTACGGGTCTGGTCTTGAACCCGAGTTTGGTACTATCCCTAATATATCAGCTTTTACTAATAATGGCCCTGGTACTTTACAAAACACGCACATAATCATTTAGCTCTCAACCATGATACGTCAAACAAACCTCTGTGCGCCCAGATCTCAGATTTGAAGAGCATAAAAAAGCATTTATGGATACTCTAGAGCAAATATACTCAGGTCGAACGATGATTGTTTGAGACATCGACATCCAGAATGTGATTCCAACTTTTTGAACCCCTTGAATGGTATTTCAACGCAGGCTACCTTTGCATACGTGCGTAAATACGTAAAATATACCTACAAATACTCCTAAATTTAATTAGAGCAGGTTACAGGGCACTTTTGTGGCATGTAATTCAAGCCAATGCAAATCCGTGCCAGCAGGAATTTACCAGTAAGTAAAGCACTCTAGAGTAAGGTGAAAAGACGGGTTGAGTAGCTGACTGTTGTGTTACAGTCGATCTGCTTTCTTGATATTACTAGAATTTTATGCCTTAGTGTCTTGTCTTCTTGCGTACTCCAACACAGTTGCAAGTTGTACCGGTAGGTACCTATTCAGATGAGTCGGCTTTCTAGTTACGGCATTGGCTGTACCGGTACACAACCTGCAACCTCGCTAGTTCGGACTCGTATTGGAAATCTTTGAATTCATGCATGTAGAGAATCTTCCATGCAGCTACGTTGTACCTACCCTCTACCTGAGATAAATACATGTAGCTGCTAACTAACGTAAGTAAGTAGGCTCTCCGAGGCCCAGCCAGCGCAGCACAGTAAAGGCTTCAAAGATCAAATTTTATTGTCTAAAAACATAAATCGGATTACTTACAAGATCCCGCTGGAGTGGAGTAATTGCTGTCGCGCCTGACGAAGTAATTATGCTTCCTACATACATATACTCAAGCTCACATATGTAGAGGGGTCCTACAACGATACCGGAGATAAGCCCACCCCCACACATCTTCGGAAAACAGTGGCCCGGGATAAAGGGAGGAATCAATTAACACATCAACCAGTCAGTCGCCGACTCTAGAGCATTTTGCATATCACAAAACTCCCAAGCCTTTCGAACATCTCCGGGTTTTGCTAGAGTAGAACAAGATTTAGGCAGCACTCATGTGGAGGTACTTTTTGTCCGGGGGGCGCGGCCAATATAACAGCGGTTGACAGCAGAAGCGTGTGGATATGTCTGTTGAGAACCTAGAGTACTTGGAATCCTTGTCAATGCTCTAGGAAGGTCCTGCAGGCTCAGTAATACCCTATGGTCTGGTCGTGTCGAGTCCAAAGTGAGATGTGAAATGCACGCTGTAATGCAGAGTGTGGGTTAGGGTTGGGTGAGTGGTTGAGTTTCGAA